TGGGTGGGTGGATGGGTGGGTGGGTGGATGGGTGGATGGATGGATGGATGGATGGATGGATGGATGGATGGCTGGGTGGATGGGTGGATGGATGGGTGGATGGGTGGATGGATGGATGGATGGGTGGGTGGATGGATGGGTGGATGGATGGATGGATGTGATGGGTGGATGGATGGGTGGATGGGTGGATGGATGGATGGGTGGATGGATGGATGGGTGGTGTTCACAGTAAGCGAGACCTTCCTGTCGGCTCAGTGTAAAGCGGAGGAGTGAGCATGCTCTTAGTGTGAAACGTGATGCTGGGCACTCACACGTAGCTCCAGGTGGCGATGCTGCGCTCGTTGATGTGGCTGGGCAGGTTGAGCAGCTGGCTGTAGTAGTCCTGTAAGCTGTACGAACAGAATGCTTCATCAACACACTGGATCCCCAGAGGCCGGGCCAGCGTCAGGTGAACGGGCAGCAGGAAGAGCAGGAACGCTCGCAGCAGCTGAACGCAGAATAAAGGAATAATCAGAGGCCTCTGTCAGCTTCTTCTTGTTTGGTCACTGACATGGAAGCACCACTAAGCTCCAAGATACTATGTGCAAATTGTCTTTGTTAATGTATAGATTATAAACTAATTTATTGTATGTTAATGTGCAGTTAAATCTTATTTAACAAAATATAATGTTCAGTTGTTGGCCATCGCAGAAGAAGACCAAGGTGCGTCATAATGTTTCTCTCTGTCTGTGTGGTTATTTGTCTATTGTATTAGCAAAATATCTCATTAACCACTGGTCACTTTAGAAGAAAACTGTCTGAAAGCAGTGAATTAACGTACCTCTTTGAAGTCAAACCAATTCAACATGGCCTCCTTAGCTAATGGACTTTAGCCAACACAAGACATGGAGCTAAAATTTAAAAGTAGCTGAACATCTTAACCTACTTAAAGCCCGTACTGATCAGTCATTTACCATTAAAACCAGTTCTGCCTACCTTTTACTTTTCCCTTCCTGTTTTAAACCTCTTCTAAAAACACCTGTTATCTCTTGCTTTTAACACAGTGTGATTTGATTGACTATTTTGGTGTTTTTATGTTTTTCTTTTGATGCTTTTAATTAATTTTCGGTTTTATTATTATTTTTCTTCATTAAATTACTCCCATTGATTTTTATGGTTAAGCATTTTGGTAACAGCTGCTGCTTTAAATGTGCTTTATAAATAGTTGATTTGACCTTTTAGCAAATTATCTCAAAAGCCACTGGGCATATTTTAATTCAATTCTCCTGATCTGGTTCTGACAGAGAGCGAACAGATGACAGTCCATCCTCACAACCTGGTTTTCTCTTAAGAATCTTTGAATTCAGCTGTTTGAGTTAAATCATTACAGTAAGATGACGATACATTAGTCTCAATAGTTACACAAACGTATTTGTATGTGTACAACAAGATCCAAAAGAGAGATTGACAAACACATGAACAGTTTTTCAAATGAACACATTTCAAAACATGCAACTAGTAAAATTCAGTGCATCAAGTTGTTTGTGCACAAATCAGCTGCTGACGGATCAGGTTGTCTTTGAGTGCGACTTTTAGGACTTTGCTTCAGATTGAACTTCTTACAGCTACTAATGTGCATGCTCAGTGTTTGGCGATGCTTTGGGGTCTAGATAGCATCATGTCTACTTTAGGTTAGTTGAAAAACAGTCTAAACAATGTTCATGTCTAACTCTGTTCCAGCTGTTCTCTGCAGTTGCAGACGTAAAGAGCAGTCCCTAATTTATTCCTCCTCGTAATTTCTTCATGTTTTCCTCCTCAGTCCCACCAGGGGCGGTCCTAGCCTGTTTGGTTCCCTGGGTGAACCTGAGACATAGTGGACCTCAGATATGTTCACCTTTGAAAAGCTTCTCTCTGTTCCAGCCACTGTTACAGGAAGAGTGGCCGTAGTTCTCAGAGCACTCGGTCTGTGAACTATTGACTATATTCACAATATTATGAATGAAAAGTGCTTTGTTTCGGAGCAATCAGCGTGATTTACTTCTACTAATTGCAATATTAGATGCATCCCTGTCCCAGCAAGGGAGATGAGAGAACTACTTGTGTCAGACCTCAGCAGAAGCTACACCTGGCGGAGGGCACCCACTTCCCGCAAGTGGGTGATAGGAAACAAAGATGTAGGCTAGACAGGCTTTGTGAAATAATTAATTTTATTTCGTTATTTCTTGGAGAGGGAGGGCGGGGCCAGGCACTTGTGCCCCTTGAACAAGATGCTGCCCTGGGCAGCTGCCTGTATCACCCATATCAGAAACTGTGGCTGAATCCCACAAAGGCTCCTCCTTTACTTTGTACTGAAATGAAGGAAAACAGGCAAAGGGGAGGAGTGCAGCAGCTCAGGAGATGGGGCAGGCAGGGTTTCCCCACTCTACAAAACATGAGATGTCACGACCATGCCATGTAGCCCTGATGTTATCACAAATGCCATATGTGATGACGGCACTCGTTTTGAACGTCTCAGATCATCAAAACCCAGTTCCTTTCAAAGAGCCATTTATCCCATCTCTACCGGAAATGTTGCACATCACGCTCACAACATAAAACACCAATCAAACTAGTTCACACTCACCTTTGTAAACAACAGTCAATAAAAAAGTAAATGTAAAAGACATGGTAAATGGACTGTACTTATATAACGCCTTTCTATCTGATCAAGACACTCAAAGCGCTTTTCACTACAATCTGTGCCTCATGTACCCGTTCATACAGCTCTATACTAGATCTCTGCAAAGCTAACTGAACAAATCATTCTAAAGAGACTAATCAGAGCTTTATCACATCCATACACTGATGGGACACACATCAGAGGCAACGAGGGGTTCACTGTCTTGCCCAGGGACATTTTGACATGTGACTGCTGGTGGATTTGAACCCCCAACTTTTGCATTGGAGGACGACTGCTCTAACCACTCAGCCACAGCCGCCCTATATGGCTAAGAAACTTTTTGGGGGCATGGGCTCCAATTTCATGCATGCACGTTAGTAACTGTATAAAGGTCAATCTGGAGCGGTAAGAAAGTGTCAGAAGTCACTAACACAAGCTGATCTGTGGGCAGCAGGTGATTTGTGTGTGTGTATTTGACAATGTGTGCACAGAATATTTTTACTCGTGTATTTTGAAATGTGTACTTTTGAAAATCTGTTTATGCATTTGTGTATCAAGTTGTGCACATACAAATCTTGTTGTACGCTTGTGTGTCTACTTTTGAGACTAATTTATCTTCATAGATGTTTATCAATTAATATTGTGACTAAATTTATACGCTCTACTCTACTGCCATTTTTTTCATTCTCAGCGGTCAGAACAACAGAGGGTAGAAACCTTAACTTTACCCCTTCTCAAATTTATTGTCTTGTTGATATAAATGTATTGCGTACATAACTTGACGATTCTTTTGCTCTTGATGAAGACGGTCGCTCCTACCCTCTCTCCCTCCCTCCTGCTTTTTTTGCTCTCTTGTCCTGTCAACCTCAGCCTCTCTTTACACATCTTCTGAATCGAAAATTATTATGGATTTGGTCAGCTGGTCCCTCAACGTAATTGATAAAATTTTTCCACCAGACGACAGGGTGTTGGAGAGCCCTCATGCCCTGAACGGACCCACGCAGCTGGTAATCTGGCTTTTTGGATTCACCGTTGTTTGCACCAGCAGAACTTGAAGGCAGACAGAAAACAGAGTCTGGTGACCCAAAAAATTGTTGTTTATCTGAATTTGGTCTCCCCGCTGACCTTGGACAGGCCAACGTATTTCAAATTGCTCCTGGAGGATACGTAATTAGAAGCTCTGCCTGCCCCCCACCTCCCGAGGACATCTGTGGCCTTATCAGAACCATGATGCTGATAGACACTGTACCATCTTATCAGAACTTTGGAACTTTCTGGAGTGTTTATGGATAACTCACCAGCTTTGTCGACCTCTATGCATAAATGTACTATGATGTCATTGTATGTTGCAGCTTTATGTTGCAAGGTCTTTTTTTGTTGTTGCATGTTTTATACTGTTTCCCGGCCAGGACATGGTGTGAGACATGATTTTTTTTGGCTTCCTCCACCTTCATGGTCTGTTTTTCTACTCTGCTCTGTATGTTGTATGTAACAGATCTCTCTTGTAAATGAGTCTTCAAGGCTCAATGGGAACTAACTGTATCAATAAAGGTCTAATAATATTAATTATGTTGTCCTGTTGAAAAAGAAGGTATTTGGATGTAGGCTGGCTTCTCTGTTTAATTCAGGGCTGAGCGCTTAAATACAGACTTCAAGAAAGTTGGAAAGAAAACAGTGTTCCACTAAAGTAAAATAATTAATTTATCATGGGGCGACAACTTGTTAATATGCAAAAAGAAGTCATTTGATCTGCTAGAAGTTATATATATA